GTATTGAATGATAAATTATTGACATAAACACTCACAAAATGTAAGACTTCATGTATAATTTAATTTGAATGATATTCTTTTATAACTACATCTGTACTACGTCTCTGTTGTTTGTGGTTTTCATTTCACATCTTCATGGTTAACTCTAATTCTTGTTCTTATTATATGAGTTGATTGTCTTGCTGGAAGGTTTGGGTGAATATATTGTTGATAAAAAACTTCCATGGTTCACATAAATCATGTTCAAAACAAACCAAACCTCGAGATAAAGAGGAGAAGGCACAAAATGAAATCTACTGAATCTACTGGAAAGAAGTCTAAATTGAAATGAATAAGCAGGTTGTTCTGGTATTGGACAGAGGAAGGAAAAAAATATGTCAATATGTCTCCTGAAGAATCCCAGCCTGTTCTTTGGCGTTTCTTCTAGACAAGTGGCGTTATTTCTCGGCTTGCGACCTTGCAGTTATTCTTTCAGGCAACAATAACTGACTTTGCAAAGTCATTTGATAGTTTCTTGCCAATTGAGGTTTATTTTCTAAATTTTCCAGGCTTATCCTTGTATTTCCAACCCTTCCCCAAGTTGCAAATTGGGAAAATACCATGTTTATACAATACTTGAGCATTACAGAGTTAAAGGACATTATTGCACAAGAGTGGTCTGTGCTGCCGCTTAATAAGAAGTCAGTTTTTAATGGTTATGACTTTGATTTTTCTCAACTTTACTTTCCATAAACAATACATTTCTTTGAAATGTATTGATGTATGGAAGTCCAGTGATAAATTTTACCCAACTATTTTTACTTTTGGTTTGAAAATTAGTTTTTTATCCCCATAAGTTGTCAGGAAAATGCTCAACTTTGGTACGGAATGAACTAAAAAGCATCTCAACTTTTAATTTATCGCCAGGGAAACATTTTTTGACACCTTGCAGGTTTCCACAGTTGCAGAACCATTTCAGTGTGAGTTATGGTTACGGCCTTTCCGCCTCAGTTTGTCCACTAACTCAATGTTGTAGTTTATCTCAGATCCCTCTGAACGCCGGCTAGTTTTGAACATGCTCTTAAGAGGCACCTTTGATACCAGCTGCAGCACAGCTGACCCAAAATAAGAGCCAGATCTTCAATAGAGTAGCTGAATCAGTGCAGATCAGAATCAGTCATTCCTTTCTCAAGAACTCTTTACTCTTCTTCTTATCCGAAGTAAACTCTCCTCTCTCTCCAGTCTTCTGTTTCTCATTTTCTCTCTGGGATTCTGCTCTGTAGAATGATTTTTTTTACCCAGAATTCCCCTGGGTAATTAGTGCTGTGATAATAACTGGTGTTGGAAACAAACACACCCACTTGCTGAACAGTGCACACAAACAGACGCACACAGATGAACATACGGTGCATACGTCCTTTCGTGGGCTCAGTTGCATAAAGTATTATTACACAAACCACCACAGAACAGGAGGAACAAATGCATGTTGAACTAAATTAGTTTGATACTCAGGCTTTTAAAAAATACTAAAACGTCGGTGAAAAACAAGCGTTTGCTCAGCAATCTCCCTTGTGTGAATTCTGACCCTAGAAGAAAATAAACTCAATTTTTCGTCTCAAGTCAAACCAAATCTTCTCTGCACTGGTCAAGTTGTACACAGATGCCATTTACAAAGCAGTCAATGTTGTTTTTCGATGAGAATTACAGGCTCCCTATGCCGTCTGGAAATTCTTTTCATTTTTTTTTTCTGATCTGAATAAGAATTGAACAAGAAAATCGCAGCTTGAAGTTTCTCAACTATTTCATATCCCGTTGATGTAGTTGTTATTTCTTCTTTCTGCCCTTTAACTGTCTATTTATTTTCTTTCATCCTTGATTCCTTAGTTTTCCTTTCTGTATTTACTTTCTTCCTAGTTCTGGGTTTTACCTAGAGTTTTCTTAAGTTTGGAAATATCTGGAGAATTCATGAAGGAACTTGTTGATTCTCTTCATGTCTTCACTGCAAAAATCTGAAATATACATGAATATTGATTACCTGTCCAATTTTGCATCTTTATGTAACATATTTATAAATATAAAATGTTGTGGTTTAATTATACACACTAAAATAATGTTGCTTACATTCTTTATTAGCTTAATGCACAACTGTATGTTGCCTACTTCTATAATTAGGAAGTATTGTTGTTTATATTTTCCATTCATTTTGCTCAAGATATTAAATCTCATCAGTCCAACAGTAGACATAACTTCGTTAGAAACATTTTGCTCAACAGAAATAGCAAAAACAACAATCAGCCAAAGCTGATTCACTGAAATAAAAATAATTCACACACCTTAAACTTTTAGCATAACGTCACATTACAACCAGAAAGGCATGCCAGTCAAGAGAAAATTGAGTGTAGCAACATTAAACAAGGTCGGATGATCTATTCTTAATCATTTGTAATGCGGGTAAAATTACAAAAAGATTACTAAAAATAATAATTATTCTTTATTGTTGTGCTGTGAATGCAAATTGACTGGAACATTTGTTGCCAAGTTGTTACTAGTACCTCCATACTCTGTGCCAAAACTTGAGATTGCTTTTTCCTTCTTGTGTCTGAATTCTTTATTTTTAGGCCCTTAATTGACGAGGCACGAAGCGCCGTCTGCATTGATTTAGAGGGTTTTGGCGCGCGCTATCAAACATGCTAATGGGATCTCCTGGCTGATCATGGCTGGTGTGCATGCATGTTAGAGACTGCAATTCAAAAGATAACGACGTCCATGCGTGTGCGCACCACATCGCCATAGAGAATAAAAAAAAAGAGTGATGAGAGAAATACAAAGATAAGAGCAGGCAGGCAGCGAGGGAGGGAGAGAATCCCCTGCTGTTTTTCCAATCAGGAGGCGTCGTCCTCCTCACTTGGTGATTTATTCTCTCTCCCCCTCTCCTTCATGTCCCAATTTCCACCCTTTCCCTTATCCCTCTCCCTCCACACACACACCCGCCCTCCATTTCTTTCATTCATTTCTGCCTGTCTCCTTTCTGTGGGCAGCTTGTGAACATAGCTATTTAGAAACGACGACAGAAACACATTCGGGCAGGCGCTTCTGTGAGAATGACTCACCTGTAACGCCGGGAGGTTTTCATCCCGGCTCATTCTTACAGTTCACTTATTCTTCTCCGAGTACACTTCGGAGGAGTTGTCGCTGCCTCCAACATCACATTTCTTTTATTCTAAAAGCGCCATTAAATGATGCATGACCTAACTGACCAGCAATAATAAGTTTCTGGCACAGCTCCGTGCCCACCAGCAAAGACCATTCTTCTTAAGCAAATGAATAATGAATCCAGGGTTGCAGGTCAGGACTAAATACATTTATAATTAGGTTATTCAATCCGCGAATGAAAAATAGCAAGCGGTTCAGGGAGCAACCGCTCTGTTGATATGAATCAAAATCATTTGTTTTCATGACGGGGGTTAAAAAAAAATGGAGGTTTTATTCAGTCATTATCACCTGTCTTGTGTTTTGCTGCCAAGCATTGGTTTAGTCACATTTCATACCCCTCCGCTCATTCCCCAGAGCCACTAGTGTGCGTCTGATCCGCCTGGAGCCGCCTATACCTTTAATAACCGTGTCACTCCTCTGTTAGCGTGACTGGATGTGGTAGAGCATGAGATGTGGCACATTATTGCTCTGTTAGATTACCAATGCGAGTGTTTATGCGTTTGTGTTTATCTCGGAGGCCTCCCCCTAGACGCACACCCGCTGACCCCTCCCTCTCGGCGCTGGTTGGTTGCCACAGCTACAGTGTCGCCTCTCTTCCTCATGTTGCTATGAGACTCGGACCGACAGACCTGAGCTGAATGACAATGCGTCTGTGGATCTGGCAAGAGGCCTACAGGAACCAATAAGAGACGGTGCAGAGACGAACCCTTCCCAGTCTGGGACCACGGGAGTGATTGTTTGGGTTGGCAGGAGCCGTCTTGTTATGTTAGGTCTTTTGTCGCAGCATTAAATAATAATTACAAAGTGTTGCTTAAGATGTTTTGACAAACCAAACCAAAAACCTTAATGTCAATCTGTTGTAAGTACCTCAATCGTAAAAGTTTTCACCTCTCCTTAGTTTGTATGGCTCAGTCTGTAACTCGTGTTTTTCTGTCTTTTCTTTGTAAAGAACTCGTGTGGACATGTTTTATGAATGTTTTACTCACTAAAACAGACGTTAAAGCTCAGAGTGTATGAGCTGTGGTGTGAGTATGGTTTAACCACAAAAAAGAAAATCAGTGGTTAAGTGTACTGTGGTTGCATTCCAAATATTGTACCTCTCTAATAAAAAAAAGTTTAATTTGCTCACTATTTTGAGAAAACTAAGCTGATGTTGCGATTACGATTTGTATATTGCTATTTTGACCAAAAAGCTTATTTTCCTCATAGCTAGAAATTTAAATCGCACTGGCAGTCAGGATTTTTCCCCTAGTTAGAATAACGCCATGTCCCAGCATTGAAACACGCTCCACGGAAGAGAGTTTTGACACCTAGCAGCCGAGCAGATGTGGGTGTGTAGGATGAGCTGTTTGGAGCTCTGTGTCACAGGAATCAGTCTGCTTGCTGGTTTTTTGTTTTTTATCTATCTGGTTTGTAGATGTCAAAGGAAAAAAGAAGGTAGTGCTTTTTGTTCATATGAATTTAATGAATAAAAATCTGTTTAATTCTCAAAAATCCTAAAACTAAGCGCTAATAGAAAGAAGCTGAAGTTTTTCTCCACTGATTCACTCCTTAAATTTTTAAGGTTCAGAGTTATGTCAGCAAACCCTCGGCCGCCATCTTGTTTATTTGGAGTTTGAATTCAACACTGATGAAATATGGGACAGTCTTAGATTTTATATTTTTTATTTTTGTGAAAGTAGTCAAAATGTTACAATAATACAGTCATAATAATACAAGAATACAGTCATGTGGCAGTAAAGTTCAAGTAATATGAGAATAAAGTCTTACAGGAAAGCAATTAAACAATCCGATCTCTGTCTCCTCAGGAACTGTTTACACCTGAATGCAAGTTTAAAGAGTCGGTGTTTGAGAACTACTACGTGATCTACAGCTCCATGCTGTACAGGCAGAAGGAGTCGGGCCGGGCGTGGTTTCTGGGCCTCAACAAAGAGGGACAAATCATGAAAGGCAACAGGGTGAAGAAGACTAAACCAGCTGCACATTTCCTGCCTAAGCCCATAGAAGGTAAGAAAAATCAACTTGTTTGTTTTTACTTGTTTTCTTATCAAATCTGATGTTCTAAATCAAACTTTCTGTCTTTTATAGTTGCAATGTACCGTGAGCCGTCATTGCACGATGTAGGAGAGGCGGTGCCTAAACTCGCAGGGGGCCCGCCTTCTAAAAGCACAACCTGTGAGCCCGTGGTCATGAATGGCGGCAAACCAGTCAGCAAACCCAGTAAGGAGGAGACATAACCCCACCTCTCATTTTTAGCCTCCCTCCCTGCCTGCCTGGCTGGCCGACTGACTGGATGCCAGGAAGCACCACAGACTTGCCCTTCTGCTGCGCTCTCAAAAAAACAGACGAAGAAAACCCCCCCCCGCAAGAATAGGTAACAAACAAACAGCGATAAGCTCTGACTGGACAGTGACAGGGGCTGGACGTCCTGCCTCACCTCAGCCAACTGGACACTGGTGTGGGGCGGCGCCAGGGGGACAGCGCTCCTTTTAAGAAGGCTGCTGAACTGGGTGAACTGGGTGAACTGGGACGGTGGCGTACGTTCTCAGTGAAAGGACATCAAAAAAAAAAAAAGTCCGTGGTCACTTATTTATTTATTTACTTATTCATTTATCAAGGCTCCTGCTTTCCTCTGCTGATAGTTTTCTGTTGCTTGCTTGCTCCAGGCCACAGACACACATCCACACAAACTCCGCTCCACTCCAAATCGACTGCTTGGATTCGATCTTTAAATACATTAAAAGCATCAGCAAACACCGGAGAAAGACCGTTTTAAATACCAAACAGTGATGATTCAGGGGAAAGCTTAGTCATCAATCACTTAGGATTTGGAACAGGATGTTCTTTACTTAAACTACATCAAAACGCATCAGGAAACGGCACATTGCATATGGTGACACGAAACTAGTTCAGAGAAGACAAAACAAGTCTTTGCATGAAGATGATTTATAATGAATTCCCAATTTGTAGCAGCAAGGTGTGTATGTGAAGTTTGCAGGTGCTGCAGCACCTTGGTAGCAGTCTGTGTTTACATAGGGTAGCAGATTTAGATTAATATGATCAAACGGTGTCCTCGGCCAGGAGGACTTTTGTAGACTTTCTCCTTTACTTGTTGCCTTCCCAAGTACTTGAAAACAAAAGAAGAAACAGGGTATTTGAACGTGGAAAGAGCCTGTGTTACTGGGACCACTATAATCCAGGTTGATAGTCCAGGGTTTTTAGAGTTTAACTATATGACGTTGAAATGAATTTACAGGTCCTAAAGTGTTATCAGCTGATACTCACGAAGTAGCATTTATAAAACGTTCTCAGACTGTTAATACTGATTCAGTTTTCACTTGTAGATTCTTAAAACTGAGCTTACGTTTTGCTTTTAGCACAGTTTTCAGATTGTTTCGGCTTGTTTGTCCTGTCGCCCCTTTGCCATTTTATACCTCTGTTTCATACTGACGACTTCCAATATCAAAATAGTTGTCCTATATTATTAATCCTCACATTTAGTTTGCTATTTACAATTAAAACTTCACAGAATAAAATGAAGAAAGTCTGAAAAAATATATATTTATTTAGAATTAGAGGTTTTTCAGTCAAAAGCCTTTTCAGTTTTTCTCTGTCATATTTATAGTGTGAAAAAATCATTAAATTTGAAAACCAATTAAATGTTTTAATTTGTGATTATGCTTTTAGAATGATCTATTATTTGGGATTACAAAAAACTGTTTACAGTATAAGCAAAACAACCACAAACAAACAAAAAAAACATCCTGCAATCATCTGCAGTTTATGTGATTTCACTCTTCAGATATTTAACCTTCAGTTCACGGTTAAACATAAGTCAAAAACTGCTGAATTATTATAAATGAATTATAATTTATTCAGGGACTTCTTTATACATTCAGATTAACAGAAAATGCTTTTTCTTCAATTATGCATCATAGTCATCTATAATTTGTGTTTTTTCAGGCAGAGGTGACAAATTAGCTGTTTTTTTCACAATTCTTACAAATATCTCACAAAAATGCCCAGAAGATGAGATGCAAAATGTGTGAAATGTGGTAAAAATGCTGGTTGTCACGTGTTGTATGAAACATGGTAGGAAATGGTGAATGGACGAGCTGACCTACAGCCTTTTTATGAGATTATGAAAGAAAAGGAAAACAGCTGTGGAGCACAAGACACTTTTTTTTGGCTTTTCCCTTGTTTCTTTTTTAAGTTTTACTCTTTCAAGAAGGTTGAAGACAAACTCCGCCTACAGAACTTAGGACTTACTGCTTCTGTAGTTTGATTACATTATTTATATTTTATTTTGAAAAGCAAAAAGAAATAAGACATGGAGCAGAAGTGCCACATTGAAAAATACACCTGAATTTCTGAATTACCTGCCAAAATGAGGGGCTTCAACATCACAAACAGGCATTTTTATTTCAGAAAGTCCCCCAGAGTTTACTCTCTTGCCCTTTTGAGTTTCACTCAACTCCATTTTTCAGGTTTCACTTTCTTTGATGTCAAATAATTATGTCCGTTCCAGAATTACTGCAACCCTCTTTTTCTCAATTATTGATGACTCCTCCTAACACTTAAAACAGTAGGTGCCTTTTTCAGCTGCGGTCTGGCCGTCACCGATCCACACAACTGTAAAACCAGACAAAAATAATTTATTTCTAGACTCGACCAATTGAAACTGTTTATTATAAGTACTTCTTTTTCATCGTATGTAGAATTTTGATCCATTGTAGCTTAAAGAAAAGCAGAAGTTCCCACGTGTAGTTTTAGGCCTTGCATGAATCCAAGGTTTTTCTCCAACTCTAATCTTTCCGCCTCATTATAAATTGGCTATAAAGCAGCATGCGACTGATGAGCAACTTAAATGTTTTTACTGATCAAAACCGAAATAATCGCACACGGTTACACAGGCCACTGTGAGATCTTGTGGTGGCTTTTTTTCTTTTGACTCAAAATACCACCATATCAGAATTCACAAGTAAATTTGAAGCGTAAAACATAGTCTAATGTCTATTTTTGTCAGGTATTTGCATTGCTGCACCAATGTTGAACTGCAGTGATTTTTACTTGAGATGCACTGAGAAAGTGCCTGGTGACCAGAATTGGTCACAAACAAATGGAGGTTCATGTATCTTGGGGCCCTGCAAGGCCTCATACCAGGTCACATTAGTAACAACACTCTTCTGTGTGGAAGATGTTGCTAGAAGAAGAAATTTCAAGCTTGGGTCCTTTCAGTAGCTGCGATTCCATTCACCTTAAAATTACTTATTCAGTAAAAAATGTGTTTTGCTAAAAGAGTAGCTGATCAAAACATAAATCATTTCCTATTGAAAAACCCTCAAATAGACCAAAATACTCAAATTCTCAAGTAAGGGTAACAGCTTAGTAGAAATCCTCCGTAAAAGTACAACTATTACATTATAAAATGTAAGTGAAGTAAAAGTGTAGAAGCTTTCTTTTAGTTGGAAAAAACTCTGACCATTCTTGCACTTTCTCTGGCATCTCTCTAAAAGGACTTTGGATCGTTTACCTTCATGTTTTAAACCGGGCCTTTCTCACTGACACCAGTAGTTAATTAATTGTCCTGAAATCCCCAAAGTAACACTTGAGATTGTGAGAAAAATCCTAAAGCCACCTTCTCACTGTGAAAGCCAGTTTGTTCTGGGACTTTTCTGTTTCCTCATATTTCTTTGACCGCAAGACTAGATGCCAGTCGCTTCCTCCTCCAGATATCCCAGGAGGAGATACTGTCATACTGTGATCCCACTTTGAGATTAATGGCAGGCACATATTAATTCATTCAGGATCTGCTTATTGAAGCAATTAAAACAGACACTGTGTATCCCTTCTCGCTTTGAATCCCAATTTTGGACCAAAATAACCCCTTTTGCATTTTAATCAGATGATTGAAACACTGTCCTGTTTGCGGAAGATTAATGACCTTTGTCGACGTTGCCACAACTACAAAGCGGCAACACGACAAAGCAGCCTCCCTGCAGAAATCAAGGCCGCTGTGATACATTCGCACATCAAACGAGCAGCGGCGTCTCAAGCCTTGGCAACAGGTCTGCATCTGTTCAGCAGGTGAAACAGCGTGTGTGCTCAAATGTTGTTTATCCCAGCCGGACGTAGCCGGGTGCTACAGACCTCACAGTGTTTCCAATTGACATTTCAAAGATTCGGTTCTCACGTACACCGTGTCATTTCTCTCCTTCGCTGAACTCATTAGCTGCTTCTCGCATTCATGTACAAATATGTGGTCGAGCAGCACATCTCATTACATGAGCCATCATTCGGACTGATGTGGTCACAGAAGTGTTGCCTTTTCGCCTTTAAATAGGGAGGCTTAAAGAAAAATGAACAGTTTCTGTGCTAATGTGTACAGACAATAAAAAAGGAGAGGAAAATGAAAAGAAATGGCAAAGCGAGTGCCTCTCATTAACCCATCTTGGGTCAAGCTGTAAGATCCAGCTGTGGATCCTTAATTTCTCTGCCCTCAAAGTTTGACTTTAGCTTTGTTCTGTCTAATGTTATATGGAATAATGTTAATGAGGAACAAGTCTGGTGCTGTGCTCGTCTGATGTCAAAGAAATGTGGATGTAACATTTATTTATTAACTGTCGTGTCACAGTTGGGGGCAAAAAATGATAAAATAAACCCTGACAATCACATACAGTGGCTTGGAAAAACTATACCCCTTAAATGTTTTCACATCTTGTCACGCAAAGATTTCAAAACATTTTATCAGTTAAAGTGAGTGAATTCAATGCACCTTTATTGAATAAAAACCCAATAAAATGAACAAATTCGTCTTGACAGAATGTGAAAAAGTTTCAGAGGTTCAAATAATTTTGAAGTCTGTATACTCCCATTTATTCTTTGGTATCTTGTACTGTCTCAGCTGCCCGTCTCTAAGCAGAACCTTATCTGTTAGACATGATACGAGGCGATTTGACCGTTTTTGTTCAAATGTTACGCAACATTGCAAAAACTTCAAATCTTACCAACAATGTTTTTGCTGTAGTTTCTGGCACAAACATCTTTGCACACTGGAAATAAGACAAAACTAGCTTACAAGTCACTTTTTAGCAAGTTTTCTTTAAAGTGAATAATTCCGTAACATTGATAAAAAGTTATAGTTCGACTTGCAGATTATTTCAGATGTAACATGAAAAAGTGTGCAAGTTATCATTGCTTTCTGTTTTTTTGGTTACTTGTGAGTTAGCTTTGTCTTATTTCAAGTGCACTAGGATATTTGCACTAGAAACTGAACCAAAAAAAACTTGGTAAGATTTTATTTTTGCAGTTGATAGCTTGTCCTTTTTACTCCTGGCCAGCTGAGCGAAGCAGCTTTACGTCTCCAGTCGGAGCAGCTCTGCTCGTTAGGGCAACCCCAGGGTTCCCATCAAGCCAGAGTGGTTCGTGAAGATCTGTGGGGATATGCTCACAAATTAATACGGTTTAAAGGCAGAGGAAGAAAGGGAAAAATGAAGAAAAAGGCCCGGTTTTCTGGATACTGACCAAAGACCCTCCTCCAATATTTTTTTTTTCTTTTTCCGTGCTGCTAATCAGAGTTCAAAGAACCACTGGCGCAATTACTGTCAGCATCTCCTGAGAGATTTCCTTTCCGCTGGTGGTTAGCCAGGTGCCAGGGCTACAATTATGAAAGACTCCGCTCCACACAGGAAGAGAGCAGCTGATTTAATTAGAAGTGAGCAATCGCAGCAACCAGGTGACTTTTAATTTCCACATACAGGTACCCCCTCATGCACTCATGGCAGCATGCATGTACCCATCTTAGTTTGCCTGCAAGTCAGGAGGCACAAAATGGACACGAGAAGAAAGCGGTAGACCCATACACACACAAAAAAATCCCTTTGTGACCTGACCACTGCAGCGCAGGAGCACTTTAGAGCCACGGGAACATGTAATGGTTAGCGCTTATGATGTAGCTGGCCTCCCTCAGGTTTTTTTTTCTTCTTCTTCTCTGCTTTAGTCCTTTTTCAAAAGACTGCCTTATTACATCTGAATCTAAAGACAGCTCTCTCATCCCATTCTCTCCAGGCACTTAGATCCCACACTCATAGAAACACATGCAGCAGATACAACTTCAGCCTACTTTAGTTTTCAATTATCCTTTGATCCCCCCAATCTTCTGTTCACTGGAACCGCGCTTGCTGTCGCTCTCTGCTTGTTGTGTAATCAGGCATCCGGAGATCTTACTCCCACCTTTGTCACCTCCTCCTCTGTCTCGTCGTCCCTCCGTTTGGAACGGTTTCCACTTGTTGCATGGATTTGAAAAGAGGAAAGATAGCAGAGGTGGTGTTTGTGGGGGTGGGCGGGGCTTATGCATGTGGTAATTTTATGAAATCAAAAGAATCACCAGTGATACTTGGGTGTTTTTGGCTCATATCTTGCTGTTAGTTTGCACAGTTGGAGAACAGAAAGGTGTTTTACTCCCAGAGCTGTCAGACGTGACTGGAAATCCATAACTGCAATAAAAGAAACCAAAGGAGGAATCCAGATGTACTCTAATGCATGCCTAAATTTTACTCTGATGGCTCAAAATGTCACATTTATTAAAAATAAGCGCATGATTAAGAAACTTTGACATTCTTTGTGTCCTTTTAACTGTGATGGATTAAAATTAGCGTAAAAATTCAATTTATTACAAATCAGAGAACATATTTCTTAAAAATCCACTTGTCTCACTTGAGAATGAATTTCTGTTTCTAGGTTTGCTTCTCCAAGATGCACAGACTTGGATAAATTAGACACATTTTGCATGCATGAAATGCTATAATATCCCGTTTTTCCTCTGTGATACAGGGTACCTGTGCGCTGAATATGAAACCGGCTCAAAGAACATTTAATATCAGAGTTGCGTTTTATCCTCCCTGTGCAAACCCCCACCAGCTATCAGCCAAAAGCTAAAGTGACAGGTGCCAACCTTTAAAGGATATTACCTTGTGTGTCGGTAAATGTACAGTTAACTTTACATATTATGCAAACAGTTTGTCTGCACTGTACAGTTTGTGTCCAACCTATTGAATACACAAAAAACAATATTGAATAAAGGCTTTATAAAAAGGAGGTGTGTTTGGAGTGAATTATTTCCTGAAGTATTGTGTTCCTGATGTAAGATTGTCACAAGAGGATTTTAACTTACATTTTGCTTAATTATGTTTTTTTAACAGGTACGCAGTGTTCCAGCCTGGAAAAGTGATGAAAAGTATGGAATCTGATGACAGTATTCGATCAGTGTGGAGAAAGAAAATAAAAGTAGGGAAGGACGTGTGCACTTCTGCACTGTTGTCTAAAATCATGAGCTCTTTAAATCCCTCCCTTATGTTCTTGCTTCTTTATTTCTTGCTTTCACTCTTTTATCTGCTTCCTTTCTTCTGTAGATACACCAAAGTTTGTTTACTTCTTAGCAAAGATTGTTTACTCATTTGCACAATTGGAAGCTAATATTATCTGGTAGTTTTGTGTATTTGAAAACAAAATAAATTTGATTTTGTCTGAGTTAAAAACCAGTTTCAGTGTCTGCAAATTGCTGAACTGCCGTAACGGTAATTGCACAAGCTTTAGGACCTGTGGAAAGCAAATGGGGAACAATCAAAGTACAGTGTCACTGGCATGAAGTTGGTACATGTCATTTAGGTTGACCCCAAAATTACAGACATAAATAGAGAAAAGCATGGGTCTGAAGTTCTGCTGCACACCTTTATTAGTTTCATTTTATTGAGTGGCTGCAGAATAGATTATCAAATGATGCATCTGACTCCTGATATGATTTAATTGTAGGCTTTGACTGGACCAGTCTGACATAAATTTTGCTGTTCACAGATCAGTTTTGAAGACCTTATTAAAACTCTATTTACGAGTCAGATTTAATTAGAGATATCGTAAATAGCTAGTTTGTACTACAAGCCACTGTTGCAGCAGACAAAGTGAAGCGACTGTTAGGCTGTTGAACTAACAAGGCTCAGATATTTAATTAAATGCAGCCCCATAAAGGAGGTGATAATGTCAGTTTCTTGTAAAGGTAGAACGTATTTTTTTGTCAAGTAGATGAATAAAAGTCAATAGAGACGTAGTTCCTGCAGTAAAATGGGTTTTAATTGAGCTCCTTAATGCTACCACTCCCATCCCATTGTGTACCTGTCTCCTTTAAATAGTAATTATGTGAAGTGGGCCCAGCAGACTGCATTTAGCTGCTTCACTACAATTTGATATCCAGGAACAGAAACCAAGCATCATGCTGGCTTACAGCCCTTCTTAATTACCCAGATTGGCTCAAATGTTTATATTTTGTTTTCCAATCTGAGCCCACACCTTGGAAGATATGAAATGCAATACTAAAGAGCAAGAAAAAGCTGGATCCATGCGCATAATTTGTGTCATATCTGCAAATCGGCGCCGTTTGAAATGAAATTCTTGTGCAAGTGTGTCGAGCCTCCAGAGCACGGTGTGACTCGGGTTGCTTTTGTTTGCAAATAAAATACGCCCAAGAAACATATTTTTAATCAAAACTACAAATTTCCTCAGGGCCACCCCCCTTGTTGCAGATCCAAGGCCTGCAGACGGAGACGCAGAGAGAGAAGCTCCAGCAGTCTGAAGGCACCATTAAGTCCCTCCACTATCACAGAGACAGATTGGCAGCTTGACAGGCAGGAACACTCATCCCTCACACCCACACTGCAACGCCTGGCCTCTTCTAAATGACAGGTGAACCAGCAAATACTGTAATTAGGTGGATGTGATTAAAATTTGCATATGTAGATGTAATATAAATGAAGTGCACTCTAAAGAGCAGCGCTGTGTTTAATTAGTGAGGAAGGGGTGGGGGGCGATGTGTGGAGCCGTGGAAAACCTGCAGCTTTCACATGATGGAGAATCTCTCGATTGCGTTTTTTTATATTATTATTAAAAATTTTCCACATCATATATCTTATATGTCTGTTGTGCGATACTTTATTACTTCGGGGCATTTTGTTTCACCTTTTCTAATATAAGCTCATAAGTTTCTGTCTTAGTGAGATCAGAAGGTCCCTGCATATATTTTGGGTAAAAAATTTCACACCATATCCTCGGTCGCACTCGTAGATTTATCGTCTTGCAGATAAAGCAAAATGAGCAAAGAGATGCTAGGCATAGATTCAGGTGCTTGTTTTATGCATTTTCTAGATGGCTTTTCAATCATCCTATCAATTCCAAAACTTACGTTTTCTGTTGCTGACGAAGGACACCGTGATGTTTCCACCACATTTTCTGCATGTAAGCCTTGGAGCATCTTCTTCCTTATGCAGCGTTAATTTATAATATAAAATATCAATAAAATATGTCGAACGTTGTAGCTGTACTATGTCAAGATGTGAAAAAGCGATAGGGAAATTTATTTAGATTTATAAAACCTTCATTCAAACATGCCTTTGCTACCTTAAGTGAAATTTATACGATTTATTAAGAGTCCCGTTAACCACAATCTGTTTTACGAGTTTCTGAAATAACCACAAAAAACTGTGTGAAATGCAATAAATGAAGCTTTTTTAGGATCTCTATTCTTCAGTTAAAATCATAATCAATTCACCAAGATTAATCTGATTGATCATTTCAGCCCGACTCCAAAAGCTCAGGATTTTGAGGCCTAAAAGTACTAACGCCTCTTTCTTTCTCATCAGGAACTTTGATCATCCCGATTTATTTTTGCAAATAAATCGGATGTGTTTCGCTCCATCTGAGCATCAACTAAACCTAAACTCCACTTTCCACAAAGCGACACCCTGAACCCTCACTGAAATGCAGCAGATTGCACCCAGAAATGACACAAAAATGACATTATCTTATCACACTGTGATAATTATAATAATAAAATGTTTCCATTTCCTCCACGTTTGATTAATTTAATTAAAACAGTACTGACTCTTGATTATTTGAGCAACTATCTGCCACAAATGCACGCGCTAACGCACACACACGCGCCAATGTTGTGAGCGCGCGGCGGCAGCAGTGTGTTTGAGGTGGCACTGAGAGCTCACTTGAGAGCCTGTTTCTGTCTGCCTCATTATCATCAAAGACAACAGACACTCACACGCGCTCTCGCTTTCCTGCAAGCACATGCACACAACGGGTGGTTTTCATGGTCACTTCAAGCTGCCCTGTCCCTCGCTGCTGCTGTCAGGAAAAAACCTTGAATCTCTAAACTGTCGACAAATAAGAAACAAGAGGGGCCGCGTGTTGCACTGACCCCCGCACCCACTCCCACTCACTCCCAATGCTTCATGTTGTTTTCAGCAGACTCACCAGTAATGAAAAGCGCCTCGATTCCAGAGCAATCCGAGAGTCTTTAATAGGAGCTGGAATGAATTTGTCTTTAATCAATAATGACTTTAGAAAGGCGTTCTGCTGTTCAGGCCCCATCAGTGAGGATTTTTCCCAATTTAACCTTTAAAGAGACTCAAAGCAAAACATGGATAGTTCACACATCTACACTAAATATGAATATGATTGAGTTTTAGAGACCTAAAATGGAAAAGTTGTACATAAAATAGTATATGGAGGACATATATCATTTATTGTTTTATATATATATTTATGTATCGTCACCAATCACAGTAGAAAATGGGGTATGAATTTTCTGCCATATTGCAAATCTAATATTCTAAACATGTTATTTATGAAAAACTCAAGAAGTGGATACATTTTTCACAAATAAACCAGGAAAACAGAATTGATATTTCAACTTGAATGTATTTTTGAACTATTAAAGTAAAACCCAACCAAAATTGGTACATCGACTGAACAGTGGAGCATTAAGAAACACAAAACGACCACATTCTGCTCAGGAGATATTCTCATTGTAATGACCGTGAATGTTTAAAGCATTGTGTGAAAATTTAAAGTTAATGATGTTTTCTCCGCTGAGACTAAAACTAGCCTTCTCTTTTCCCCTCCTACAAACATTTTAATGCGTTCTAAATCCTTGAAGCTTCCTTCCTGCTTATTTGAAAGAGACTGATAATATATATATATATATATTACTTAATGGGATTTGTGTGTTTTTAATACAAACTGATGCAGCCCATTGTGTGTAAGCTCTGTTTTCTGATGTTATGAATTCAGCCTGAAGATTGACATTTCTTCCACTTTTTACGAGACAAAAGCTCAACTTTGCAGAGCAGTAGGTGCCTTTTTTCCAGCTCAGCACCAAAATGGAGACCGACATGACTTGCAAGGCTGACAGCATGTCAATATGTTTTCAGCTTGCTCTAACCTAAAGCTATGCATGACATTTCCCTGCATGGTGACCTTTTAAACTTTCTTAAACCTTTTGAGCCCGGTTTCATGATTGGGTTGGATTTGCGACCAAATATTACTTTCAAGCAGAGCAGTTTGAAAATTCTGCACTCCTTCTCCATAGCTTTTAATCTCGTTTTTGTGCTCACATTAACTTGACAAACATCTAATGCTCTGAATCTGATTTTGTGCCATTTTGGTATCTGAGAATCTAATCAGCTCAATTTAAACAACTTATTTAAAATGAGGCATAGCCAACGATAGGAAAATTGATTGATACAAGTTTTAATTAGCACGTATTTTCCACCAGCGTCAGTTCTTTGCATTATTTAGTTTTTGAGAACGGATCTGTTCCAGATTCCAGCCTGGACGGCGCGTCGGATGCGGCGTCCCTTTCATGACGGCAACTCGTCTCATTATCTGAGAAGCACTGAAAGAGAGAAATGAGAACAAAATCAGAGACGGGCAGCTTTTGTCTCGCTGCTTTGGCAATATTGTTCTCAACTGTCATGCAAATGAGGAACAGCAGACTAAAAAAAAAACAGCGAGGAATTGAATGGGAACAGATAGTAAGAGAAAATTACTGCCTCATATGGAAGAAAGGACCGCTGTAATTTCTTTTGGCAAATTGTAATCGATTAGGTTCTGAAAAGCAAATATGGATCTGACATCAACAAATTTAAACATTTCATGCACATTGATGCATTTCGGCTTTAGGTGTCTGCAGTCAGTTTCTGCTTTACATAATATTTGACAACCGCTTCATGATTGCACATCCACTTCCCAAGATTAGGATTTGTCTCCACATCCTGACTTAAATAAGGACTTGTAAAGCTGTGAGTCACAGGGAGGTTTTCACAGCAATCACCGTCACTTCATGCGGCGCATCGTGTGGAGCTTGACCGCTCCAAAGCTTTTGAAGCATCGCTTTAATCTGCGGCCAGATGTAAACTTTGGGAAATTGTTGCCATGAGTTGAAGCTGGAGTGGAAATCTCTTCTTGAAATCATCCTTTGGCTTTCACAAGACTTGTTCACATCTCCAATAAAGCGATATCTATCAGCATATTGAACAACAGATGTGTAAAAAAAAAAAAAAAGTAACAGAT